CCTAATTTAAGCATTGAGGACAATGCTTCGTTCAAGCTTGGGGGGGGGGAGCGTTACTTCGGTTTTGGTATATATTGCGTTAGTGTTGAATAAGCTTGGGGGAGATGGAATTATTGGTATTTTTGTTTGATATTTTGTGACTTCTTGAGTTTGTTTTTGAGAGTAGGCCACTCTTTTGCTTCACTTGGGAAATATCACCAAAATTTTCAAATTTTTACCCCGCTTTAACCCTTAGCCTTATGTTACAACCCAATAAAAGACCCTTAGACTTTAGTTGGGTTGGGTCAAAGAACGGTGGAGGGAGATAGACTTCAAACCTATGGAGACAGTATGCATAGTTGAGATGTCGGGATTACCTTCTCAAAGTTTTTCATTTCTTTACCTTTTTTCCGGTTCCTTCGTGGAATCATGAGAAGCTAGCTTAAGGGTTGATTTGAACCTAGTGGAGAGAACGAGGCCCGATCGGTTGGGGCTAGGGTGGATTGTGTCCCCATTAGTTCTCTATGCTTAGCATATGTTATGTTTCAATCAACCATTGACATCTTGGAACGTGCATACATTTATCTATATAGAAAGGTTTGCATTCATTGGTGCTTGTTGGGGTTAAACTCTTAGGACACCCTCACGAGAGCACACTCGTCCTCTAGGGTGATCTAGGGGTTTAAAGGGCTTGTCTTTAGTTGCTAAAATTGACCGTGATTCCTACGAAAGTGAGTTAGTGTACATTCTTGTCTCCTTTAGTGTTCTAGCTTTGCTTGAATAAATTATTCTCCTTCTCCCGTGTTTCATGTTAATTTTCTCGAGGACGAGCAAAAGGTTAGCTTGGGGGAGTTTTATAAGTGACTTTTATGTCACTTTTAGGGTGTTTATTGAGTCGTTTTCTGGCTTATTTTTCCAATAATTTAACCCTTTTTATCCTTTATTTCTTTTATTTGCTTATTCGCGTCGTTTATCTTTATTTTGAGTATTTTAGTAGTTTTTAATAGTTTTTAGCTTATTTTCTTAATTGATTTAAATTATCTTATTTTCTATGTTTATATTTTAAGTTTTTAGTTCTTGTTATTTAATAAGTTCCTAGTTTCTCTAATTTTCTTATTTTATTTTATTTTCATGTTTGTTTTCTTTATTTTATTTAATTTCTTTTGATTTTATTTTCAAGTTATTTTATTTTATCTTTATTTTATTTTATTTTATCTTGTGGTAATACCCTCGTGTTTCTAGTTGTAGGTGTTTCGGGTTTCAAAGTCATATTTGTGTTCGGGGTCCGAGGTTTGAGGCAAATGCACAATGCCAAGCTGCTGCCCTCTTGCTAGAAGCTTATCAGATACCACCCTCCCTCCTTATCCTTCACCACACCAGTCACGCACCACTAATTCCCCTGCCCCCCTCAACAACACCAACATCAACAGCAGCAAACTGCAAACACACCTCCAATCACCACCACGCAAACCACCAGCCAACTCCTCTGCTGCCCTTAATCATCACTCATGCATTCCCACACCTCCAACCACCACGCATTCCAGCATCACCACCAACACTCCCCTGCTGCCAGCCGCAACTCATACCAGCCCACCTTACCACCACCGCAACAATTACTACAACCAACACCCCGCAACTCCAATCAACCACCACGCAGACACCCAAACCACCTAAACCACCAATCACCCCCCGTGACAACCACCAGCCCTTCACCCACAATCGACCACCAAACTCCAACCCAATTACTCCCCAATTAAGCTACGCAACTCATAGCAACCCAAACTCATAGAGCAGCCAATTTGCGACCGCGCAACCCTGTTAGAAAGCGCGAAAATTGGAGTCCAAAATCAGAGTTGAGGCAGTAGCTTTGCGCGACCTGTGCGCGACTTCTGTGCGGGCGCGCAATTGTGGGTCAATCACGAGCTTTTCACGTGATTTTTATGAGAATTGGACGGCCACGATTCCTTCAATTAATCTAAAGGCCGAGAATCTAGTGATGCTAGATGATGATGATGTTGATTTACGATGGTGATTATGATGATTGTTGGCTGATTGATAATGGTGAAAGGAAAGCAGCAATTTTCGAAGAAGAAGAGGAGGGGTTTGGACGAGTTTAGTGGGTTTTTGGGGTTTCTTTTCCTTTTCATTTTTCTTTTATTTTATTGTAGTTTTTTTTTTGGTTTTTAGTTTAGTTATTTTAATTGTTTTATTTAGTTTTATTTCTTTTTAATTTATTTTATTTTATTTTTATTTAACTTGTATTATAAATACCCCTTTGGGGTTATTTTCTCAAAAACTTTCAATCAACATTTTATTTTAGATAGATTAGATTAGTTTAGCCTATATTTTCTCTCTCTTAGGGTTAGATTAGGATTTTCTCTCTCTAGTTTAGGAGTAGTTGTAGAGAGAGAAAGCTTGGATTTCCATGGAGTTTTTGAGAGGTTGAAGAAGCAACTTTGTGGAACTTCTTCTCATCTATTCAATGAGCATTTTCTAACTTTCTCTCATCTTTATTTCTGTGCTTAATTCCTAGTTTTTGCTTTTTGTTTGTTGATTTGAGTAGATTAATTAGTTTGTTTGTTTAATCTTGTTTTTATTCTTATTTTACCTTATTTTCCATGTCTTTCTTCATTATGTTAGCTTAGGTTTTGTTCTAGGGAATTGGATGAAGTTTATATTAATGAATTGATTGTAATTAGTATGAAATTGTTTCTTGATTATTGTGTATGGGTGATGCTTCTATGGATTAGAATCTTTCTAGCTAATTGATTCTATGCTCTTAATTGTGCTTTCAATCAATTGTGCGAGAGTGAGTTGTTTGAGAGCTCTAAATTCTTCCATACCGTTACTAGGCTAGTTGCACGAGAGTGATTTAGTTTAGTAGGATAATTAACATGCTTAATTGTGCAAGAGTGATTTAAATGTGTTGATGTTCCTAATCAAGGTCATTTTCATCTATTTGTATGATGTTGTTTAATACATTGATGTGATTGGATTCCACTTTCCCTAGTTTTAGTTGTTTGTTCTTAGTCGTGTTTAGTTTAATCTCTCTCTATCTCACGACCTTTCCTAGTAGTCTAGTTGGCACAAATTAATACACTTAGTCCTTTTGGGTTCGACCCTTTACTTGCCACTAACTAGTTTAGTGTAAGTTTAGGTATTATAAATGATTAATTTGGTTAGGGTGGTAGCTTAACGACCTATTTAACCCGCGATCAGAAACCAAAAAGAAAGATCACCCATTTTATCTTTAACCATGATGAGCGAGCGAGGGGTCAACCCTAGCCTTCTGAAATGGAGGTGGAAGGTCAGGGCTTAGCACAAGGCACAAAGGGCTTACTCCTATTCTAGTAAGAGAAAGCCAACCCCAACCTCCACCAAATATAGGGGTGACAACTAGGTCATTTAGGGACTTACTAAGGGATACATAACTTGCAACTCATACTGATATGGGAAACCATATTGATTTGGATGAAGACGATGTATCTGATGTTTATGAAGCCTCGAAAGAAATGGAGGATAGTGATAGATGCCCTATCATTTTGCTAATAAAGGAAGAAAAGAGGGCTATGTGTAAGCCCTTGAAACACACTATAATAATTCGAATGTTTGATGGAATATTAGGTTACATGGGACTAATTAAAAAACTCAAACGCAAATGGCAATTGAAAGGAAAGCTAATCCTCACTGACATTGGATATAAGTATTTCATTGCTCGATTTAATAATGTTGAGGTTATAGCTATGTTCTTACGCAAGGTCCGTGGATTATAGATGATAAATATCTCACTATAAGAAAATCGACTCCAAATTTTATTCCGGAAGAGGCATCCTTAAATGTATTAACAGTATGGGTTAGGATCCCAAATCTTTTTGTAGAATACTTCGATAAAGAATTCTTAAAGAAAGTTGGTGCAAAGATTGGCAAGGTTATTAGAGTTGACAAGTCTATGGCTTATGCTTAACGAGGGAAATTACAAGACTAAGTGTTGAAAATTGACCTCACTAAACCCGTGTTAGCAAAATTCTGGTTAATAGGTAAAATTTGGAGAATTCAATATGAGGGGATGAAGATGTTGTGCTACAAGTGTGGTAAACTTGGGCGTGTGGTAAACCAATGTGCTTCTAATCTTCCAAATGATAACATGATTATTGATAATGTCCATAGTCAACTAGAAATTGTTGAAAAGCATAATAAGGAACCTCCTACAAAGCCAGAGAACATTGAGAATTTTTGTGATTGGATGTTAGTGAAAAAACCGGGTCGGAATAAAAATCCGAGATAGGAAAAAACTGGGTCGGACCACGCTAAAGAAGGGAACAATTTGAATAAGGAGAATAGTCAACCCTTGCCAAGAAATGTTACAAAAGATACGGGAGGAATTGTAGCAAATAAATCAAGTTTTGATATTCTCATGAGTCAAGGAAATATTGAGGATATTAATGAAGAAGATTCTATGGAAAAAGATAATTATGGTCAAGCTATAAATTTGAAAACAGGAAAAATTTTAAAAGATTTGAATATATCTCTTTTTCAATTAGAGGGAAATATTTCCAAAATAAACCTTGCTGATAAATCCCAAAATCAAAGTGATAAATTCCCGAAAGCTAATTCCTTTAATTTTGGGAAAACTGGTCATGGTATAAGAAGTGGAGGGAAGGAAAATAATAAGAAAAAAGATTCTACCAAAATTACAAAAACAGCTATACAAAGAGGTGGTCCACTTGAACCAATTACTAATGTGAATACTTAAAAAGATTCATTAAAATTTTTTTCTACCATGGAAATAATTGGTAAGGAGACCTTAGAAGCTACTGGTTCAAAGGATACCTCACAGAAGAATAGAGGAAGTTAACAAAGACACAAACATTGCACCACATGATGATCTCTCGAAGGAACTCATGCATGTTTCCCCCACCATCGGATGTTATCCAACTAATGATCCCGAAGGACAAAATTCTTTGCGTGGGTCAACCTATGGAGATACCATACTGGGGAATAGCAGACCCCTGATGAATGTAATGGAGGTGAGGATCAAATCATGGATGGAACCGATACCGGAACCAATGGAGTTAGTGTTCACTTTAAGGATTCCCAATGATGTAAGTCGTTTAATGAGATTTATCTCTAGTGTATATGTTAGTTCACTTCCATCTGTACTTATTTTAGTGGAAGACACTATACCATATTTAGCACCAAATTCTTTGCCTATTTCATGCATGGTATGGAATGTGCAAGGAGCCGGTAGTCGTACCTTTATTAGTGCACTACGGGATGTAACAAGAAATCATAAACCTAATGTGTTTGCACTTGTGGAAACTCATATGGGGGTTCAACAAGCTGAGAGAATTGCTTCTATAGTAGGATATGCAGGTCATACTAGAATGGATGCTCAAGGTTTTAGTTGGGGGATTTGGGTGTATTGTAAACCGAAACTTGTAACAGTGGAACCGATTATACAACACAACCAACATATAACTATGGATATTAGAAGGGTAGGAGGTGATCCTTGGTATTTTACAGCACTTTATGCTAGCCCGAATCAAACAAAAAGGAGTGATTTATGGCGTGAGATTAAAGATTTTTTTGCAACACATAACCAGCTGTGGATGCTAGCTGGTGATTTCAATGATACTCAATTTGGTTATGAGCAGAGTACATCTTGTCCCGAAACTTCTAGACGTGCAGCTAGGTTCAATGAGTGGGTAGAAGATATGAATTTATTGGAATTTAGTGGTCCGAATCATACTTGGGCTCGAGGAAACTCTATGGCTACTCGTACTAGTGCTCGTCTCGACAGGGCTTTATGTAACGGAGAATGGAGTCTGCGATTTGCTAATGCCGAGGCAAGGAATTTACCTGCGGTTTAGTCTGACCATTTCCCCTTACTGATTGCTCCTTATGGTTTTGCACCTATATCATCAGTTAACAAGCCGTTTAAGTTCCAGGCAGCTTGGTTAACACATGAACATTTTCGTGGTTTTATTGAGGAAAAATGGGATAAAAACGGTCCCCTCGTCTCGTTACTCAAAAATGTGAGTGAGGAATTACAAGATTGGAATAAAAAAATGTTTTCCATAATATTTGTTTAAAAAAAGGAATTTACTAGCTCGGATTGAAGAGGTTCAAAAATGCTTTGCCGAGCAAAAGTCAAGGGATTTAATTAAATTAGAGGCCAAACTTCGTACAGAATTGGATGATGTCCTTGATAAGGAGGAACTCCTTTGGTACCAAAAATCGAGAGTTGAGTAGATTAGAGAGGAGACTGTAATACTACCTTTTTTCACTTAAGTACGATTACAAAAAGATGGAGGAACAATATAACGGCCATTTGAGAAAGTGCTAATAAGGAGTGGATTTATGAGAAGGACCATATACAAGAGAATATTGTATCATATTTCACTAAGTTATTTACAGATGAAGAGTAGCCCTGCCATGGTGCTATGCCGACAAATATATTCCCAGAGTTCACAAGTAGGGACTAGGACATGTTGTCTCGGCCTTTTGCAAGGTGTGAAATAGAGAAGGCCATCTTTGATATGGGTGCAATGAAGGCCCCAGGTCCGAATGGTTTTCAACCTTTGTTCTTTCAAAAGCATTGGGATTTATTGATTTATTGGCAGAAAATGTTTACAAAGTGGCTCTTGATGCCTTGAATGGAAAAGGGCTTCCCCGAATATTTAAATGATACCTTCAGTGTACTTATACCGAAGGTGGATACTCCTAAGCTTGCTACACAATTTTGACCTATAGTATTGTGATTGTGCAAGAGGTTATTCATACTATGAGGAATAAGAAAGGAGGAAAGGGACTCATGGCAATTAAAATTGACTTTGAGAAAGCGTATGATCGTCTTAAGTGGGATTTTATTCGTAATACTCTATATGAAATTCGCTTTCCGATCCTTATCAATGAGCTTATAATGGAGTGTATTTCGACATCAACAATGCGCGTTTTATGGAATGGTGAGCCGACTCAATCATTTAAACCGGGGCGTGGCATTTGTCCAGGTGATCCCTTATCTCCATATATTTTTGTCTTGTGTATGGAGAGGTTGAATCAATTAATTGAGGAATCTATTATTGAAAATAGATGGAAGCCGATTTATGCTAGTCGAAATGGTCCCAAGTTATTGAATTTTATGTTCTGCTGACGATATAATTCTTTTTGCTAGAGGCAACCATCGAACAAGCAATGGTTATACAGGAGTGTTTGGCCCGGTTTTGTAGTGCCTCGGGGCAGAAAGTGAGCTACCTAAAGTCCCGAATCTATTTCTTGCAAAATATGGGTTTAAATGATAAAATTGGTATTTATCATACTCTGGCAATTGATGAAACTGAATACCTTGTTACCTGCCTTGGCATGCCAACTCTCACAAGCAGAGTTACTTGTGAAACTTTCGCATATTTATGTGAGAAAGTGGATAGAAGACTCGCGGGATGGAAATCTAAATACGTTTCACTAGCTGGCCGTATAACTCTTGCAAAGACAACCTTGACCACCATGAGCTCCTATTCAATGAAAACTACCAAAATCCCAAGGGCAATATGTAATGAAATTGACAAGCGTACTAGGAGGTTTATTTGGGGTGGTGATGAATACAATAGGCGCATTCACTTACTGTCTTGGGAGTGCCTCCAAAAACCAAAAGAGTAGGGGCGTATGGGTATACGATCATCTTGACAGACAAATGCGTCATTTCTAACTAAGTTAGGGTGGCTCGTCTTAACAGAGCCAAATGCACTTTGGTCTCGTGTATTTAGAGCAAAATATTGCAAAGGGAGATGCGACATTGACATGTTTGAATCTAAGGCTAATTTGTGCGGGATCTCGTGTTGCGGTTGGCAATGGAAGTTCTACGCTATTTTGGGATCATAACTGGGCTATGCCTAGTCCTCTGCGTGCTGCTGCTATTGTGGATATGCCTGCCCACCTTGATGGAGCAACGGTGGAAGAGCTAAGGGATGCTAAAAATGGTTAGAAGTGGAATTTGTTTAATTTGCTGATTTATTACCTACTAGTGCTCTAAAAGTAATTAAAGCTCATGCTCTTTGAAAAGGAAGACAATGTAGGGCATTTATTTTATTGGGGTGGATCATCAAGTGGAAAATTAACACTTAAATCTGTGATGAAGACTATTCGAAGAGATGATGCTATCGAAAATGATGGAGTCTGGAAATTAATTTGGTCTCTAAAATTTCAGCAAAGGGCGAAGGTCTTTCTCTGGCTTGCCATACTTGATCGTATAATGACAAATGCAAATTTCCTCAAAAGAAATCTAACTGATAACCCTTGGTGTAAAAATTGCAACATAAATGAAGAGACCTGTTGAGGGTAAAAATACCCCGTACACATGGACCAGTCCCATAGCGACACGTGGCCCAGTTAGAGGGTGACACGTGTAACTATGGGAAGATACCACGCATTCAACTTAAAAGCATTCAAGGGCTCAGGCCAATCCTGTAGCGACACGTGGCCCAATGAGAGGGTGACACGTGTCGCTACAGGAAGATGCCAGGTGTTTAGGCCATATATGACCCCTGAAATCAGCACGCAAAAGAGGCCTAATTACATCAGGGCCCAAATCCCGAGAGATATCATTGAAAGCCACAAAGCGGCGCCCCAAAAACGATAGGTGGCGTTCTCCGATTGCGCAGCCAATCACGTCATGCAATTTTAGGGTACAAACCCTAAAAATGACACAAGCTCCACCCCTATCAATACCCCAATCATTTATGATGGGAGGGGTGGATTAAGACATTACAAGAAAAAGAGCATTAATAGCTCTAACTTCTCTCTACTTTCTCTCTCTAGCCTTTTCCGTTTCCGATCACTAGCTTGACCGTCGGAGGCGAACATTCCGACAAGTGGAATATTCGTTGTTTTGCAGGTGTCTCAATCTCATTGCCAGAAGAGCGTGACCAGTATCCGAGGAAATCCAAAAAACACCCAAAACATTTGGCGCCGTCTATAGGTATACTTGTCCGTTATGGCAATAATTGGTCAGACACCTAATCCCGGCCCTCGTCCAGGCGAGGACGGCCATGTAGAGGACATTATCCCTACAATCCTTACTAGCGATCCGCTAACTGCCTCATTTCAAGAAGCTGATGACCCTCCTGTTACTGCAGCCTCTCTGAAGGCCGCACTCAACAAGCTCCGGAAGGAGTTTGAGAGCAACGGAGCCTCTACCTCTAGGCAGCCGCCCAGGAGAGAGGGGGAGAGTGCTCCAAAGAAAGCACAAAGCAAAGCGGCTAATGCAACGGACGCTGGCAACACCCCATTTCGTAGGCCGACTGGAAGGTCTCCAAGGGTACCGCGGACAAATTTCTCTGATCTGTTGGCGAAAACACAGTCGGCTGGGGGGAGGAGTAGGCAGCCTCGAAGAGAAGAGCCTTAGCCGTCTAGACGATGGAAGAACGCAAGGGATTACCTTCAGCATAAGCAGCAGGAATGTGCCGCTTACTCGGACACGGCCTCAACTCCAACTATGTCGGATGATTTTTCAAATCATTCTCCCTCCCAGCCTTCCAACACGACCATCTCAAGCAGAAGTCAAGTTGTCCGCACTCCAACTCCTATTCTAGTTGTCCGCACTCCAACTCCTATTCCAGTTCAATCACTCCAATATCAACCTCCCCAGGGTTTCAATGGCTTGATGCAGCCGAATTCTCAAGTCTTCGGACAATATGGGCCATACGGACAGACGTACGATTAGGCTCCCTACCTGGCTGGACCGTCCGTGCAGCCACAGCCAATTGACTAGCAGATGCGCCTGCTGACTTTGGGAGATAAGCCCCCACTACTCTTAGTTTGCTGTTTGTGGGAAATTTTTCATACAACATACTACCTCGAAAGACTAGCCTTAATTTGGCAACAATTGTTCAAGGGAAAAATGAGGGCCTACGGTCGTACGTCCAACGATTTAACCAAGAAAAAGCCCAAATTCATAATCTGCCGGATGAAATTGCTTACTATGAATTTCTCCGGGGATTAAGGCATAATGGTTTTAAATTTGACCAAGTGAGGAAAAAAATTCGGACATACGCAGGTGTTTTACGAGAAGCCAAAATTTATATTGAAGCGGCGGACTTTTGTTCGCTCACAAAATTAGAAGCGCCGGCCAAGAAGAAACAATCTTCTCAGCAAGACTCGGCCGGCCAAAAGAAAGAAGGAAAAATAATAAAAGAAGTCTGGGTGGCCGAAGGCCAGCCGCAGAAGTCCAAGAAGGTTAAGACGTACGAGCCCCAGTATGAGTTCAACAAGGATTGTTACTCCATCTTGATGGAAATCAAGGATAAGTTTGAGTTTGAAAAGCCACAGCCACTAAGAGGACCAGCTCAGTACAGGAACAAGAACAAGAACTGTCATTACCATAAGGACGTGGGACATGACATGAGCGATTGTATCAATTTAAAGAGATTGTTGGACAAGCTAGCCGAGAAGGGCATGCTAAACTCTTATGTGATGAAGTCCAAATTCACTTACACACGGACAAACAACATGTCCGAGAAGAAGCAGAAAAATGATAAGAACAAAGATAAGGAAGATGATGGGAATAGTACTGATTCAGGCTTTGTGGCCGTGATATAAGGAGGTTTCGCCTCAGGCGGCCCAACCATGAAAGGGATCAAGCAGGACGCCTGGAACTTGGGAAAGGTGATGCAAGAGGATGCAGTAAAAGTCAAACCATTTCCCGAAGTAATCATCAGCGAGGCTGATCAGGGGGAGGTTAAAGCCCTGCATAATGATCCCATGGTATTCATTATGAAGATAGCCAATTTGAAGGTTAGACGAATATTGATTTATACGGGTAGCTCGGCTGACATCATCAGCCTGGCCGCCTTGAAGAATCTAAGCTTCCCAAAGG